TGTCAACCACTCTGAAAACAGTTGTTCGAGTAGCTAAGAATGTGGAGGCCCAGCAAAAGGAAAAGGGTCTGGAAAGGATAGAGGTTGGTGAAAAGAGGAAGTTCGATGGACCTTTAGGGTCCAACAAGAAAAACAAGTTCTCGAAGTCTGGTTCGAGGGGAGGTGGAGGCGAAGCCAAGTGGTGTGACAAATGTGAGAAGAAGCATCATGGGAAATGTGAAGTGGTGGCTACATGTTTTAAATGTGGACTATGCCAACGAATGCACACTTACCAAGAAAGTTTGCTATGGTTGCGGTGAGGAGGGTGACATCTCAAGGGATTGCTCGAAGAAGAAGGAGGCATCTAGACCCAATATCACGCTAAAGCCGAAGGCGAGAGCATTCCAGATGACATTGGAAGCTGCTAAAGATGAAGCTGATGTCGCTTCAGGTACCTTTCTCGTAAACAAATTGCTTGCCCAAATTTTATTTGATTCTGGAGCCAACTACTCCTTTATATCGCATGAATTTGGTAGAAAACTAGCTTTGCCTGTTGATAGACTAGATAATGCCTTATTAGTCGAAGTTGCTAGTGGCAAGTTTGTACCTGTTAGCCATCATATGAAAAACATCTTAATTGACTTGAATGGGAATAAATTCCACGAGGAGTTATTGCCTATCGAACTAAACGGTTTCGACATCGTGCTTGGAATGGATTGGCTTAGCGCCAATGACACTGAGATATTGTGCAAGAAGAAGATAGTCAAAGTAAACCCACCTGGGAAAGAGTCGTTTATGGTGTATGGAGATAAACGCAAAGTAAATTCTCGAATCATTTCATTGATGAAAGCCAAAAAGTGTTTGGTCAAAGGATGTACACCGTATCTAGCATTCATGATCTATGCTAAGAAGGAGAAAAAGGTGATGCAGAGTATTCCTGTCATATGTGATTATCCGGAAGTATTTACCGAAGATCTTCCCGGATTACCGCCTGATAGACAAGTGGATTTTAGAATAGACTTGTTACCAGGGATGACGCCAATAGCAAAAGCACCTTACCGACTAGCACCGACGGAGATGAAGGAGCTGATGATGCAACTTCAGGAGTTATTGGACAAAGGTTTCATTAAACCTAGTTCATCACCCTGGGGAGCTCCGATGTTATTCGTAAAGAAGAAAGATGGAATATGAGGATGTGCATCGATTACAGAGAGCTGAACAAGGCAACAATAAAGAATAGATATCCATTGCCGAGGATTGATGACCTGTTCAATCAACTACAAGGTTCAAACTATTTCTTGAAGATCGATCTTAGGTCAGGATATCATCAGCTGAAAGTAAGAGAGCATGATATAGAGAAGACTGCATTCAGAACACGATGTGGGTACTACGAGTTTTTGGTTATGTCGTTTGGACTAACCAATGCTACAGCAACATTCATGGATTTAATGAACATGGTTTGTAATCCGTTCCTAGATAAATCTGTGATAGTGTTCATAGATGACATTCTGATTTACTCGAAAAGCCAAAAGGAGCATGGCAGACACTTGCGAGAAGTGTTGGAAGTGTTGAAGAAGGAGAAGTTGTATGAAAAGTTCTCCAAAAGTTGATTTTTGGATTCGAGAAGTCCAATTCTTGGGTCACATGGTCAACCAAGAAAGGATAATGGTTGATCCAGCGAAGATCGAAGTTGTGATGAAGTGGGAACAACCGAAAAGTCCTACGGAGATCCGAAGCTTTTTGGGATTAGCCGGATATTACCGAAGGTTTATCCAAGGCTTTTCTTCGATCGCTACTCCATTAACAACTTTGACCCACAAAGGAGCTACTTATGCTTGGAATAATAAGCATAAAGAAGCATTCGAGAAGCTAAAGAAGAAACTATGCAAGGCACCGATACTTTCTCTACCCGATGGAGTTGAAGACTCTGCTGTTTATAGCGATGCGTATGGGGTTGGATTGGGTTGTGTTTTGACCCAAAGAGATAAGGTGATCGCATGTGCGTCTCGACAATTGAAAGAGCATGAAAAGAACTACCCGACTCATGATTTGGAGTTGGCAGCGGTAGTTTTCGCTTTGAAAATATGGAGGCATTACCTCTATGGCACGAAGTGCAAACTTTTCATGGATCATAAGAGTCTCCAATATCTCTTTAATCAGAAAGAATTGAATATGAGGCAACGACGCTGGCTAGAGTTACTTAAGGATTACGACTGTGAGATACTTTACCACCCTGGTAAAGCTAATGTTGTTGCTGATGCTCTCAGTCGGAAAGTCAATCTTGAAAGGAAGAGGCCAAGAGCGTTAAGAATAGAAGTTGTCTCGACAATTATGGAGAGTATAAAGAAAGTTCAAGAGGAAGCTTCTGAGAAGAATGACCGAAAGGAGGAACGTTTGGGCAAAATGTTGGTGTTCGGTATAAACAGTCATGGACTGAAGGTGTTCCAAGATCGGATTTGGATACCTAAGACAGGAGGAGTCAGAGATCTTCTGATGGAAGAAGCTCACAATACCATGTACTTGATTAATCCTGGTAGCACTAAAATGTATAGGGACCTGAAACCCTACTATTGGTGGCCAACGATGAAGATTGATGTTGCAAAGTATGTGGTTGAGTGTGTGACTTGCGCGACAGTTAAGACACAACATCAGAAACCATACAGGAGTTTAGAACCTTTGCCTGTGCCTATGGGTAAGTGGGAAGACATTGCTATGGATTTTGTCACTAAACTGCCCAGAACAAAAAGTGGTCACGACATGATTTTGGTGGTCGTTGATCAATTCACTAAGAGTGCGCATTTCATAGCAGCCAAGGAGAAATGGTCTATGGAAAAGCTTGCAAATTCTTATGTGAAGGAAATTGTGAGGTTTCACGGTGTTCCGTTAACGATTGTATCGGATCGTGACAGCCGTTTCACCTCGAGGTTTTGGAAAAGTCTACAAGAGGAAATAGGTACTAAGTTGTGTTTAAGTACAACTTACCATCCACAAACTGATGGTCAGAGTGAACGGACAATACAAACACTTGAAGATATGCTGAGAGCATGTACCCTGGAATTCCTAGGTAACTGGGATGAACATTTACCTTTGGTAGAATTTTCCTACAATAATAGTTTCCACTCGAGCATAAAGATGGCACATTATCAAGCTTTGTACGGATAAAAGTGTCGTATGCCGTCTTGTTGGCTTGAGGCTGGAGAAAAGCAGTTTATGGGACCGGAGATAGTCCATCAAATTGCTGAAAAGTTGAAAATAATTAGGGAAAGAATGTTAGTAGCTCAGGATCATCAAAAGAGCTATGCTGACAACAAGCGAAGACTGATGACTTTTGAAGTTGGAGATTCGGTTTTGCTTAAAGTCTCGCCATGGAAGGGACTTATAAGATTTGGTAAAAGGGGAAAATTAAGTCCAAGGTTGATTGGACCATTTAAAGTTCTTCAGAGGATTGGGAACCAAGCTTACAAGCTCGAACTACCAGAAGAACTGAATGGGATTCATAACACTTTCCATGTGTGTTATTTGAGGAAGTTCAAGAGAGAAGTTCCCAATATGATTCCACTTTCGGAGTTGAGAATCGATGAGAACAAAAGGTTGATTGAAGAACCAGAGGCAATTGTTGACCGAAAGACTAAGAAGTTGCGATGCAAGATGGTCGAGTTAGTGCTTGTCCGATGGAAACACACGAATGGGCCAAATCTCACTTAGGAGACGGAGAGTGACATGATGAGTCGCTACCCGCATTTGTTCGTTGATGTGTGATTCCGGGGATGGAATCATTCTAACACTACTAGAAAAAAGCCCTTTAATGACGCGCAAACAATGACAAGCGGTGATTTACGATACGCAAAAGTGTGTGCCCCAAAAATAATGTCATCTCTTCTAAAATTTGAAGGATAGAGGACGCGCTTTTTGTGCGCGTCCTAAAATTAGTGTCATAAAAGAAAAAAAAACATAAATACGGAGGATACCTTTCATAAGATGTGCGTCATGTAAGTGTGTCACTTTATATTTTTTTAATGAAACACGCGTTTCAAGCGGGAAATGAAATCTCAAAAATTAAAACCCCGCCTCCTCTTCCAATTGGCAAGAAAGAAGCCTAGGGTTTTCGTCTTCCCCCCTCTCTCTCTCTCTAACCTAAAACCCAATCTACGATTTCCTAGAGATCTCCCATGGCTGTAACAAATGTTGTCTCATCTCACTGATCTTCGCAGCGATGGTGGCTTGAGGGAATGAATATGGCAGCGACGGTGGCTCCAAAGAAAAAGACACCACGCCGGTGACTTTAGGGATGGAAGATAACAATGATGAGTGGTTCAACCCTCATGAAATCGATCCACACTTGCTACTTTTCTCCTACCTTTCTCTCCACCCTTCTCTTTCACCATAATCATCTTCTTATTCATTCACAAAATATTCAACATGAAAATCAAATCGCTGTTTCATATTTCATTCATTCATATAAAGCCCCGATATTTCAATTCGATTTTGAACCCTACCTAAATCATCATCCTGGAAAAACCCTAGCACATCACCCTTAAAATGCCCAATATAAAAAAATACCCAGATTTAAATCCCTAATTGATTGAGACGATGAGAATTTGGATGAAGTTGCAGCTTCTTCACCCTCCGGTTCGACTTCATAGCATTGTTGATTCAAAGTTTTAGGTAATATTTCTTGATATTGTTATACTCTTATCTCTTCAACTATCTTCAATCGTTCGCTTCAATGTCTCCAGTCGATTTTATTATCTTCAATCGATCGAAGTGAATGATGCCTATATTTTTGGAATTGATTTGTTAGGGTTTGTTCACATCCCTGTGGAGGAGACCACGATCTCCTCTTCATTCCACGATCCCCACTTCTACTCTCTATGCATCTCAGGTATTCTTCCTTCCTTCTCCCTTATTCTCATTCTTGTTTGATTTCTTAGGTGCGAGATCCTCCTCCCGTACTTTTCTGCTTCTCGATCCCATTCTGATAATTTGTTAACAGTCGCACACACTCTATGCATCTACTCTCTATGCATCTCAGGTTTCGTTCTTCCAGCAATGAACCAAGATTTATCAACACTTTCACCTTCGACGGCAAGGAGGATTCACCAACTTTTGTTATGGTTCATGGATATGCAACTGCTTAGGGCTTCTTCTTCAGAAATTTTGATGCTCTCCTAAAACATTTCAGGGTGATTGCAATGGATCAACATGGGTGAGTTCAATATGTTGTGTTTCTCATCTTTTATTTAGGTACAACCACACAAGGGCTTTTTCGGAATTATGCAAAAAAAGCATCATCCCTAGATACTTAATCCTCGACACCATTTCCCACGTTTCAATCCAATCAAAAAGTGGCCCACATAATCGTGAAGCAGTTGCTTTAAGCACAGGGAAATTTTTGTAAAGATCATAGAAACCAATGACAACTGTAACAATGGAGATGATGACATATAGAGATCTTGCTAAAGGGCACATCCATGGTCGATAAATATGTCAAAAAATAGGGTAAGATTGGGAGAAAATTACCCAAGATGGAAGTCCAGCTTCTAGAAGAGTCAATAATCTGAAATCTGATACGATTATTTCCTTTAATTCAAAAGGGAGATCATGGTTGTTAAACTTGAATAAAAGCAACACGTCTCTTGACTCACTGGGTTCAGCTGTTTCATCACAATCAGTTAACAAGGGAATTTTGGTAATTACGGTTCTTCCGTTACTTATGTCTCTGTAAATATTCACCTCAACATCAATTCCTGCTGAATTTTTTAGTTTTCTTCTCTTATAAGGTGGAGGGGTATGAATTTCTTCACTTGTTTCATTTTCTAAAGTTTCTACCTTTTTATCAATATTTTCCCTTTGTAAGGTTTTTTCATGATCTTTTGTACAAGGGTAGTCTTGGAATTCTTTTGGGGCGTCATAAAACTCATCTCCTGTATATATAAATCATATCAATTAACCTGATTTTCTTGATCTAACAAGAAAATACGAGACCACAAAAAGAAAAGTGGGACAAGGGCAAACAGGTAATTCCTCTTATTACATCATTGTACCTAAATAAAAGACCCTAATTGTAAATGTGAAGATTCGAGGGTGAATAAGATTTTATTATCAAAATATTTAACTATTATTAATCTGTAGTTTGAGACAAGTACAAAGAGACTGTATATCAGAAGAAAAATTCTCTATAAATTATGAAATCATATAAAGTAATCATAAAGTTATATCTTGCAAATTATAATAAGCTAAATGAAGTATGTAATAAGTTAAAGTCGGTCATCATATGTTGCATTTATAGGCATTTAGTATGATGTGTAATTTGATTTTTTTATTTTTATTTTTATTTTTGTTTATTTTCTTTAAAAGTGGATTCTTTGTTTGAATTGCAGGCTATTCAGGTCAAGATGAATATCTTGCGGTTTTCTAGCTTCGTCTGACAAGAGAGTGATGTAAGATACATTTCACTTATAAAATATCACAGCATCTTAAATAGCATAGGATTAAAATATCATGAAGCATGATAAATAATAATCAAATATATTTATTGTTACAGGAAAAGCAAAAACTGAAAGTGAAAGAAAAGCTTGACAAGTATAATAAAGAGAAGCTTTTGGAATTTTGTGATATGTTTGACATGCCAATTGGCAAGACTTCTAAAAAGATGGTTTGTTTAGTTTTTATATCTTTCTTTCACAAATTTTTAAGTTACTTTAATTAAATATTATGTATGTTCTGCAAACAGGAAGATGTTGTCATAAAGCTGATAGATTTTATGTTGAAGCCTCATGTTACAAACAGTGAGTTGCTTTCAGAGAAAGAACAAGTATGTATTTATTTCAGTTGAATTTTTTACTTTTTCAATATATCTTTTTTACTGTTACAACTTTCCTCATGTTATTTAGTCGAGCAAGGGTAAAAAGTGACCAACAAGAAGCAAGAAAAGCACATCGCCTTGTATCTCTGAATGATAATGTAGAAACCCTAAACCCTAAAACCCTGAAGGTAACTCTCCTTCAATATGTTCTTATCATGGTCATAACTGAAGCCTAAACCATAAACCCTAAAACCTTAGTATCTAATGCTTGTATACTTGTATCTCTGAATGATAATGCAGAAACTGAGGATTGGTTCATTGATTCCCGTGAGGAATGGAGAAAGCCAAACACCTTGATAAGTTTATTTTGCTTGGGCATTCTTTTGGAGGATATGTTGTATCTAAATATGCCTTAAAGGTAACCCTCCTGATGATAAATATTACAAAAACAACTTTCATGTCTCAAATCTAAATTACATTAATCTAATGATTTCACACTTTTACCAAAATGAAGCATCCTGAGCATGTACAACATCTTGTTTTGGTGGGACCTGCTGGATTTACCTCAGAAGTTGACCATAAATCAAAATGGCTTACAAAATCCAGGGTAACATGGAAAGGAGTTGTTATGAGCCATTTATGGGAATCTAATTTTACTCCTATGAAAGTACTCAGGTAATATAATGATTATAATCTTTAATTGCTTATTGTTATAGGGAAATTGAATTATAATATTATATATAGCCTTGATGTGTGGAATTTTATGATGGAGCTCATGATACACAAAGTTACTGCCTTGGCCATACATAGTGAGTGAGTTACTATCCATTGAGACTAATGATACCCTTTTCCTTTTCCTTTTCCTATTCTGCAGATCCTACGAGTGCCATGATGCATCATGCTGGACATAGATTTCATGAAGTGTTTCAGATGAAACATGGTGACTATTCTGATCTTCCTGCAGCAAAAATCTCAGAGTTGATGAAGTCTAACAGTTTGGATGTGATTTCCTTAATTCTTTTTGTCCCTTGTGAATTCATCAATATTCACATTTTACACTTGTATAATTTCAGAATCTTTTATTGTCTAGATTGCCCCTACATAGTCGCTTCTAAGCATAGTAAATGAGATTCTAGACGAAAGCATCAGCAAGATGAGTAGTGAAATACCTCATGTATGCATGCTGTTACATAAAAGTTTCTTCTTTGTGTAAAATTAAGAACATGAAATATGTTTTTTTTTAATATAAAACTAATGTTCTCTTTTAATATATATATATATATATATATATATATATATATATATATTTATGTTTTTATTCCAGCGTGTTGCTTGCCTCATGAGGAAAGCCGTTGATGACCTAGAGGTTAGAATTGTCATTTCTCAAGCAAAAGTAAAAGCACAGAGAGTTGGTTCTTGAAACGAGACTCAAGATATCATATTTTGGCATGGCTAGAAGCTTTGGAGGAAACGAGACTCAAGCAAAAGTAAAAACACAGAGAGTTGTTGGCACATAGTAAGCTAGATTATGCAATTGTATATAAATGAGTTCATTTTTTTATAACATTTACTCACTTTTGGAATAATTATTTGTATTTGACATATTGGTGAAATGAATTATCTTTGTTATTTATGGTATTTTATTTTGTATTATGAGATTTTTAATGTATTATTTAATTTGAAAATTAGTAAATCTATAAATAATATTTTTTTTAAACATTTAAAATTATGATACGCAAAAATGGGTGTCATCTTTATTTATGACATGGTATTTCTTGATAGGGCTTTCTTGATACGCATTGCATGTCCTTAACACGCGCGTCGTAAGGTTACGACACGCGAAAGCGTGTCGTCTTCCTTTATGATAGGGCCTTCCTTAATACGCATTGCGTGTCGTAAACGCGCGTCGTAATTGTGCGTCGTAAATGAGCGTTGTAAATGCACGTTGTCTATAGACGACGCGCAAAAGTACGTCGTCTCTCTTTATGACAGGGCCTTCCTTGACGCGCATTTGTGCGTCGTCTGAGTCTTTTGCGACGTGCAATGAGCATCGTAAAAGGCTGTTTTTCTCGTAGTGTAAGGTGGAGAGAATTGTAACGCCTGTGTTTCTGGGATTGTCATTAATGTTGATATAATAGTCTAGGTTAACCTTTGTAACCCATTTTGAAATAATAGAAGTGAATTATTTGAGTATTATATGTTTTGTGCTTAACTATGTTATTTAATTGAATTAAGAATAAAAATAAGCGTCAAAAATGAAATGTTAGATAAGCTTGATATCTACGGATAATGTTGTAGTAGTTGAAATGAGGTTTCTGAATATCTAAAGAATGCCGAAATCCGAGTTATAACGAAGAAGTTATGATCTGTCGAAGTTCGCGATAGAACCGGCACGATGCTGAATGACGTAAAATACGAATTTATCATAGAGCGAGATTTAGCCTTAGCGATCTAAACGAAATTCATAGAGTTCATTAAACCGAGAGTGTGCATAAAAAGAATGCCCAAATCTGACTTCGTATGAGGAAGTTATGATTTTCTGAAGTTTCAGCTTACGAGTATGCAGCCCGAATACTTGATTCGAGATCGAGTGATTGTTAGTTGAAACAATCTAAACGAGAATCGAAGATCTCATTGATAGTAGTGCATTGGTGAAAAGAAAGACGAAAAAGGACGTCAGATGAAGAAGTTATGAGTTTATAACGGAGTTTTCCTGTCCCGGCCTACTAAAAATAAATAATAAGCATAAAAGTCAAAATTAACTGACGGAGTTTAAATGAAAGTTGTAGAGCGTAGTCTCACCTATGCGTGGATATAAAGAACGTCGAAAACAGAGTTTGTATGAAGAAGATATGACTTTCAAAATTTTTTAAATGATTAATATTTATTTATTTAATCTTTAATTCGGATAATATCCGAAGGAGTCATTGGTCTGATCCGAACTACGCCTAGCGTACCCCGATGCATGCACCGCCTTAGACTCGAGTGCTCCGATGATGCATGCAGTGACGTTTTCGGAGGCATACGCCCCATGTAGAGCATTACGCCCAACGTAATGCGAGGCCTCAGCCTCCTATAAAAGGCTTGCGAGGGCAGTTGAGATTTTTGCTCTTTTCTCTTCTCGCTCTCCCATTTTGCATCGTTTTACGTGCTAGAAATATCCCGAAGGCCCGGTATTAACCCCCAGCCCCGAAGCAAGTCCCGAAGCCCCGAAGATCCCGAGAAGTGAGATTCCCGAGCCGAAGCTCGGCCCGCGAGGAGCCCGGTTTTTGTGAAGATCTTCCAGATCTACCGAAGAATACTACTTCTGCAAGCAGTAGTGCTGTCCGATCATCTTTTGATCAAGTGAGTGTGTAGTTACTTTCTTCTAACACATAATTATGAAGTATTTTATATAAAATACATGTTATGTATATATTTTGTTGTTATATGTGTGAATGTATATTCAATTTCTTCTATCTCATAGATCTGATTTATTCTCTATGAAATATGTGTTATGTGTGTGTGCCTCATATGTTATGTGGCATATGTATTGATTGAACATGCAATACTGGTTTTAAACTATGTATAAAAATATATATTTTTATCTACTAATATATTGGGTAGAACATGGGTAGATAGTTGATGTGTGATAAACAGATGAGAGGCCTCGATGTTGTTGATGTTGACCTAGTTATCTAGCGGAGTATGGATGACGACCACAGACTCTTTCTAGACAGTCTTGTGGAACGGTAGCAGGTTCATAACCTGTAGGTGTTGTGAACGATGTGTTTACCGGTGTACTCTATCCCTCTCATGGTTGCCTTTAGGATATCTATTGTTGAGGAAACCCCTTAGCAGTAATGTCCATCCCCGATGAAAATCCTAGATTAGGTCCCTTGAGATAGATGTTGTTTTAGGGACATAAAGTGAGGATAGCGGGAATGGGTAATCAGGTTATTGTTGGTTGGTGAAATTAAATATAATTATTTATTGTGGGTTGAAAACCCTATATGCTCACCATGCTCCCAAGCCTGACCCACTCAGTTTATTCGTATTACAGGTAGTGGCGCGAGGGCATAAGATGGATGAATTATCAAGTTGTTTTGTTTACAAGTCTGTATATGTATATATTTGTTGAATGACTTGTAATGTTATCATTTATGCTTTATGGTCTGTATCGGAACATGACATCCCGAGTTTTGATTATATAATGAAAATGCATCTCTTGATGAAATGCTTTGACAAATATTATTTTATCATATTTTGTTTTTGGGAACAAATTCAGCAACTCTTTTAAATCAAAAGGATTTACTTTGAAATTATTTTAAAAAACATAAATGAAATCGGTCTTTTCTAGCTGAGATTTTGGGGATGTCACAGTGAATGACATGAAAAAAAGTTGGGACCATATTTTATAAATGGGACCCATTGTCAGTAAATGTTTTATAAACCATAGTATTTTAACGTATAAAAGATCGTGTGTTACACAACATGTACAACTCAACAAAAACATATCACACTACTAGAAAAAACAACCTTTTACGACGCACAATGCGTGTCATAAAACGCTCAGACGACGCGCAAATGCGTGTCAAGGAAGGCCCTGTCATAACGAGATGCGCATTTATGACACACATTTACGACACACAGTTATGACACGCAATGCCTATCAAGGAAGGCCCTATCATAAAGGAAGACGACACACATTTGTGTGTCATAACCTTACGACGCGCGTGTTTATGACACACAATGCGTATCAAGGAAGCCCCTGTCATAAAGGAAAACGACACGCATAGTGTCATAATATTAAATGTTTTTAAAATTATATATTTTTGATAGATTTACTATTTTTCAAATTAAATAACACATTAAAAGTCTGATAATACAAAATAAAATACCATAAACAATAAAGCTAATTCATTGCACTAATATGTCGAATACAAAGTCATTCCAATAGTAAGTAAATGTAACACATTGCTAATATTGTATAATATTTATTATAGAAAACAAAACATGTACAACATTAAAAGAAACTCATGACTAAACTCTCCTTTGACAATTTCCTTTCTAAGAGAATAACCTGAATGCAAGAACTTTGAAAGGCCACAGGGCATGGAAGGAGGTTGTTGGAGCTGTCAGAACCTGCACAGGGCAAATCAGTAACTTAACATGCAATACAATACAAGATGATATGATAGAGAAAAGAGTAAAGTGAATACCCACCTGAAAGTTTGCACCTTCAAAAACCGGATCAAGGGTACTAAGGTTAAGCAGCCAATCAATGAATAACCTGAAATGGGAAGTGTGTTGCTATTTGGCATTACCTGATCGGGTTAAGAAGATTCCAAAGCACTCATTTCATCCCTGCTAGCTACCAGATGACTAGCCACCTGTTTCATTAAATAACAAAAGAATACCTCACTCATTTCATCCCTATCAACATATTCGTGTTTGTTTTCGCCTTTAACTCGAACATTTCTTCCACCAGGGATCAGTTCATAGTTTGTTACCTTCAATCATCACCATAAAATAATTACAAAAATACTCCTCCCAATTACAACATTGATTTTGATAAACGTAAGTGAGAAATCAAATTAAGAATTCTTACTTTTGTTTTTTCACATAAGATGAGCTTCTCTTCATCGGATAAATGAAAAAAAAAAGAGTAAAAAAGGATTGGTAACTCTAAGCTAGACATGTTGCTGACTCTTAACAATACCAATAAAATCATTAGGAATAACACCCCCTGAAAATAAGGAAGGGTAAATTAGACTTTTTATTATCAGATAGAAAAACACAAAGTTACTACGTACATGATTATATAGTTGGTAAAAACTATGTTGGCCATTTGTTTCTGGTTCAAGAAAATCAATTTCACCAGCTTCAAAAGGAAGGTGATGTTACTACTCTAGATACACCCAGCAAATAAAATAGACAAACGAATTACTCAAATAAACTAAATATTAGATGGACTCCTAGACCTTATAGTCACTAAAAAAACATAACATTGATAGGTAAAAGCCCATTTTCCAGTTTTAGGGGTTCTTGTTATTGATTTATTGGGAAATCGTTGCATTTACTTTTCATGTAGGAGAAAAATTCAAAGTAAATAAAGCACAGATTAGAAAATGTATGCAAAATAAAAATGTGAGAACAAAGTTGTAAACATGGTATTTCTACACCGTCTTTGGTAAACATGGCATACGTGAGACCTACATTTTGAATTCAACCAAACATTACACAAATATAAATTAAATTTTAACTCAATTTATCAACATCAATTTTTTTTTCAATAAATCATTGAAATACGTCAACATTTAAGGAGAGTTTGTTTTTTATTGTTGATGGTTGTGATCTGGAAAAACATGGCTAAATATTAAAAAAAAAGACTAAATATAGAACCATTATTACACTTATAA